TTTCCGAGGCGCATTCGACTCGGTTGATCGGTCTGTTCTTCTTGAGACGCTTGCCCACCAAGGAATGCCCCGGAAGTTTGTAAACATAATTCGTTCTTTGTATTCTCAAACTTCCGGACGTGTGAGAGTGTACGGAGAGCTCTCCAGAGGTTTCCGTACACAAAGCTTTGTCCGTCAGGGATGCCCACTCTCCCCATTCCCTTTTAAATTCGTGATCGATGAAATACTGAGACGAATGCTGGAGGGTCTCCAAAACTCTGGTGTTCAAATAGCTCTGAAGAACACCTTGGAATATGCAGACATGATTCTCATATTCAAAGAGGAGGAGAAGGCGCAAGTATTCCTGTATGCACTGACTAAAGTCATCCTGTCGTTGCCTGCATAGCTGACGCACATGACTAACCTGCTACTTGGGGTCCACGATGTCTAATCAACTGGCCTAATGGAACCTACGTCGATCACTGTGGACAGCTGAAAGAATCTACTTGTGCATCTGCTGTATTTTTAATCTACTCAGTGGGAACGCAAAACAACGTTGGTACTCCGATTAGACGCTTCACGCACAAATACCATTTGGTTATCCTTCATGTGGTCGTTTAACGCTTTCGCTAATGCCGTAAAGGATGAAATCCTGACAGCAGCCTATTTCTCAACAAACGTATCTGAGGCCATATTTGAAACCATACCGCCGCCACTTTAAATTAGAATGCGCAATGAATATTATGCAGGGTGATTGATTAAAACAAATTCCGAAAAATGAATCCGGATTTTGGTGGTTGTTGGTTTGAGCATACAGACAGCAAAGATTTCTTTCGGCTGAGGATCAACCATCTGAAATAGGCAGAACTATCTGAATGTCGACAAAACACTATAAGATGTGTTTTGATTAAGTCAAACTAAGGTATTCGTGAAATCGAGCCAATTTTAGACTCTCATTCGTACCCTTTAGGTGTCTTCGTGTTTTAAACTATCGGACTATTCGAAGAGATTGTGTTTGTGGATGAACAGAAAACGAGAGTGCCATAGCCATCTTTATTCAAAAGCTGTTGGTTTCGTATACGCTCCCAAAACCAGAGCCACGATGTCTAGAAATGAGCGCCACATTGTGGTTATATGCAAATACTCAATAAAAACGTTGTTCAATGGGTACTCTTTAATGAACGGTCTCATAGCAACCAGGGGGTGCCTGCATTTGGTTTCGGTGACATTGACAGAGGTTGATTACGACGTTTAGTCCAAATAGTGACACAAAGTACTATCTGCGGCTGCATTGGTAAAATCCCAGGCGTGAATGCGGACAGAAAAATATGCGCATGGTTGTGCGACAGTCTTTGGTTAATCGATGAAAAACAGAACTATCAAACCAAGCAATTTGAACTCTTGGATAACCCCCTCGAAGTTCTTTTTTCCAATTTGCACAGCGTCAATAGTTGGCCGTGTCGAACGAACGCGTTTTGTGCTTAACCGCTTATAACGCACGGCGACACTGGCGTCGCCTGATACGTGTGAGAATGTGATTCGTATGGGAAAACGCCAGCTATCGCGCAAACCAGTGGAGTGTACTGGTGTTGTTCCATGAATAATTCACCTGGATAGCTGGATAGCATGTAGTATCCGGAAGTTGTTGCGATTTACACCGGGTAATCCAGTTTCCAGTGGACTATCTAACTCTTAGTTTCAAGGACACTCCTTCAGTCGGTGGAGGTTAGGACTGGTAGCAGAACATATTAATCTGATTGGTGCAACGACTCGATCTCTCAGCTTATCGACGCCTCGGCAGGCTACTGAGTCTGACTATCAGATATTTCGGCTACCGACTCACTTTCATTGCAATCAAAATTCTCGCAGGTAAAGTCAAGAGTGATGATTTTATATTACTTTTGCCCCAAAATCAACTCTGCTTCAGGTGTGCTGTGTTACGATGTGTTGGCGCGTTTGTATTCGTGTTCGTCGTGTTGGGAATTATGACACAGTGTCGCAGTTTCGTCGTGTCAGGACGCGCCCAGACAAGAAAAAAGCACATGTGCAGAGAGTGACGCATCCCCAAGGTCACCATCGGTTCGACACGTCCGGAAAGTAGGTGCGTTGGCGGAGCGCACCAAACACGGCTTAGCAACATGAGACCAGTGGAGTGGGACTGAAATTGTCCACTACTGGAACACTGCCATTGGTTGTACGGAACGAACAAGTANTAAGACCAGGGGAGTGGGGCTGAAATTTTCCACTACCGGAACACTGCCATTGGTTGTACGGAACGAACAAGTGAACGACCATATTTGGCCATTCAGAAGCAGAGCCTCTGTATGTTTTGACCTGACAATACAACAGTGTCCAGGGTTCTCTTTCCTCTCCCTATCGCGTAGTCTCGCAGACTCAGTGCAGGCGTAACCAATAGACGGCTACCCACGAGACAACACATGGCCAAGACCTCGGTCGAGACACTGGAAAGTGAGGAGTTCTTTCCTGCAGAGTGCAAAAGTTCAGCACAAACACTCAATCCTTTCTTTTGCTTGAATAGCAACAAAGTCCGCTCAAGAAGATTAAAACACATAAATGGTGCGAGGACGCTTTTCATAAGAGAGCACGGTGTCCTCAGTGTATCAAAACAATGCTCGGGTAAAATATGTAGATTTGGCAGCCTGCCAGATTGGTGCAAACTGTGTTGGAATGTGGCAGTGATGACAGCTCTTGGAGTATACACTATGTGGATGAGAGTAGCAGCAGAGAGAAGTTTTGAAGGACACCAAGAAGAAGACGTACCATCAAATTTCAGTGGTTTTGTGGGACTCAGCTGCTAGAGTTTTCCACTACAATTTGTACAAGTTTATTGAAACTTTTTATCGAGGGGAAGGGTTAGGTTGTTTTGTTGCAGTATTAGATCAAAATCTCGTGGAGTACTTCATCGTAATTCATCATAGAGCACTCGATTTTCGTCATCCGTATTCATAATATTCACCCTTCTTTTCTTCTACGGAGTTACGTAAATATTGGTAGCTCAGGTAGCGTAGATGGTCGTTGGCTTGTTCGCTCAGCTGGGCGATTTGCTTGCAAACGTTTCATCACCAATCGAGGTGGTTGTGCACAACCACTAACCCACCGCTACGCACAAACTACGCTCTCAATAACGCACTGGTGATGTCAGCTCGAGTAATGATGAAACGTTTGCAAGCAAATTGCGCAGCTCAGCAGACAAGCCTACGACCATTCATCCTTCTTTCGAAATAATGCTATGTGCACCTAAGTGACCATTAGACTAACAATTTAACTCATGGATCCTTACACTATAGTTCCGTTTGCGAAAATATAACATGCTCTAAATGTCCGCAGTTTTTAAAGAGGAATCAGTGTGAGGTGGAACGGAAGTGACTTGACAACAAAGGGAAGAGTAGAATGGCGATTTTGAGGTGGATATTTTGACTCAAGCCATGCCGGTTTCCTAGGCAAGTGAACCACTGCAGTTTGATGGTACAACTCTAGCCATTGAAAAGCTCAGAAACCTTCAGCTATAATTGCCACATTAACCAGCCAATCACCCTTTTCTCATTCAATACCATAGATGTTATTGATGACTCAATCTTCTCGGTCGACTTGTTTGTTTTCAGGCAGGCAACTTACACTTTTTTTGTTTGCCGTGCAATTTAAAAATATGTGGGTTGGGCACAAGTTAGGAGAGCGCGCCCCCTCTGGTTCAGTGCGTTTGAATGTAGTCGGTTGACTTCAGTGGAGAAAATGGTACACACGAGACTGATGGCTGGCTAGTACTGAGAGTGAGGATCGTTTAGTTGTAACACCCTTCTCGTGCCTAGCAGTCATGCCATCCGAAGGAGGCACGCGGGCTGAAATACTGCCAGATTGCCCAAGCCTAGACAGGGGAAGTCAAGAGGTAGAGGTCGGAACCACGGACATTCCGGTCAATAAATTCGCGCTCTAACCAGTTGAGCCACCTCGCCTGCTGGCAAGTACTGATTAGGTCTTTAAGATTACTGGTGTTTTACCTCATTGTTGAAGCTCAGTCAGTCTACTGGTACTGGCCAAAAATCACGAATCATTTCAAATCTACAAATACTTGTCGTCTTGTGCACCGGAAGCTATCATTGAACGTACCTTAGGCAACCTGATGAAAACCAGGTCGGTCTGATGAGAGATTTGGCAAACGTATTGGATGGATTTTGGTCTTTTCTAAAGCAAACCCACCAAAATCCTGTCTAAAAAGTGGTGTGTTGTTCGAGGGGACAGGGGGGGCCACGTAGAACCCGAAATTCCTGCACGAATTTCACTGAACAAACAGTGTCAATTTTCCGACGGTGGAGCTGTAACAGATGATGTACACCCGCTGAGTATGGAACGGTCTGAAATCTAACGTGCACCTTGTCCATGAGACCCGACCAGATCAGACTGGGTAACTTGTTTACAATGGGTTTGACCAGGCCGCCGCTGTAAATTTCGTCCGAAAAGGAACAGGCCGACAACCGAATCCGATAGCCACTGGGTCTACGGGCTTGACATTTCATACGTTGCGAATTCCAGTGGTCAATGTTTATCTGTTTACATTTTTTTGTTTTCCTTGTTACGTTATAAATAAAACTTCGCATGGCTGTGGAAGGGAGGTTTCGATTAACAAACCCGCTTTACGGAATTTTCGCTCATGTTTGTATGGGTTCGGAAGTATTATTTAAAAACTGAATTGACATGAAGTAACCAGAACGAAATTCCA